TAGATTTACAATCGTTACTTACCTCAAACCGGGTGAAATACTACACCGTGACGCCCTTGCCTCTCGACTTGGCCGCAACGCACGTCGAATCTATCCAAAATCAGAATCATAACATCAATATATGCTAAGGGAAAGAAGCCCATGTGAAAATAATTGAATTACTTCAAAAAATCCCGAAATTGGTCAAACCCGACCCCTGGGCCCATGTTTCGGAATCCGATAAAAATCACATCAATATAATCCTTATCCTCCCACGAGTCCATATATACCAAGAACAGCAAAATCAGACCTCAATTGGTCCCTCAAATTTACCTCTCCAATTTCAAGCCCTAACTTCCCCAATTTTTCACCCTTAATCTCATAAATTTCATGCTTAAACAACTGAAAATCAACATAGAATCGAGTTTTAGATTCAAGAAACTCACCTTAATGGAAACCCCCTTGATTCCCTCTTCAAAACCCTCTAAAAAGCTTCAATTCCAGATAAAAATGGTGGAAAACAACCCAAATCTTGCGAAGGGGGACTTAAATACTTCCTGACCCAGGGATTCCGCACCTGTGGTCCTTTTCATGCTTCTGCGGTACTGCTTCTGCGGTCTAACCAACCGTATCTACGGTTTCCACTTAATGTCCTGGGAATGCACCTGCACCCATCTATCTGGACCTGCAGTCTCGCAGGTGCATTACACCTCCCGCACTTATGACTTCTGGCCTTCTCTCATATGGCCGCATCTGCGACTGATCAAACGCTTCTGCGATCTCGCTCCTGTAGTCCCTAATCCGCATGTGCGGTTATGATAGGAACTCAGCAGCTTCAGCTGCAAACTCTAACTTCCAACTTCCCGATAACCATTCAAAACCCCGAGGCCCCCCGGACCTCAACCAAAAGTACGAACAAGTCATATACCACTATTCAAACTTGCACCGATCTTTGGAACACTTAAAACAACATCAAATCATCAAAACACCTTTGGATTCATGCCTAAGGTTTCCAAAACTTCCACATCCCACAAATGATCAAAAAGTCTACCAAACCTCATCCGAATGACACAACAGACCTACTCCAATTTTCAGAATTCCATTCCGACCCCGATATCAAAATTTCCACTACCAACCGGAAAATGCCAAAATTCTAATTTCGTCAATTCAAGTCTAAATCTACCACGGACCTCCAAATTACATTCCGATGATGCTCATAAGTCCCAAATCACCTCACGAAGCTATCCATACCATAAAAACCAAGTTCCAAAATTGTTTACTCACAAGTCAACTTCGGGCGACTTTTTCAACCTAATGGCCAACTTAAGAGACTAAATGGTTCATAACACTCCAAAACTACTCAAAACCCGAACCAACCGACAAGATACGATGTAATGAAGCTGAAAAACACATAAAGAAGCATAAATGGGGGAAACGGAGTGGTAACTCATGAAACGACCGGCCAGTTCGTTGCACTACTACGATCTTCTTTTTACGGCTTTGTAGGAGGTGACTTCGACCCATTTGGTGAAGTAACTAATGGCTACCAAGACAAATATGTGTCTGTTGGAGGCGGTGGGCTCGATTGGGCCAATGACATCCATGCCCCAAGTGGCAAAAGGACAAGGCGAGCTCGTCACATTGAGTTCATTGGGCAGAACCCGTATCATGTCAGCATGTACCTGACACTAGTGACATTTCTGCACATACTTGATGCAGTCAATATCCATAGTCATCCAAAAGTATCACGCCCTTAATATCTTTTTGGATAAAACAAACTCGTTCATATAGGGTCCATATGTCCCCACATGTATTTCTTCAATCATTCTGGATGGTTCTTCGACATCCGACTCATCTTAACAACCTGAGATCAAGAGTCCTTTTGAATATAATTCCTCCACTCTATAAGAAGTGATTAGCTAGTCTCTGTAATATGCGCTTTTGAGTATGTGTAGCACTTTTCGGGTATTCTCCCTTTTCTAGGTATTCCTAATGTTGTGAAACCATGGCTTCCATCAAGTTCTTTTTCAAAACGAGCACAATAGGCGGGCTGTTTGCAGATTTTCTATCAGGATGGGGTCAATATAGTTCGTATTGTCCACCCATAGGGTTCTCTGCCATGTGATCTGCCAATTCTTGCTCCTTGACTACCTTATGAGTCACATAGATGATGTTGTACTCACTTAAAAGTATTTACCACTATGCCTACTTGCTAGTAGGCATAGGTTTCTGAAAGAATATACTTTAAAGGGTCTATTCTTGAGATAAGGTATGTGGTGTATGCATTGATATGCTGTAGAATTGCGGCACTTTTGATACTAATTACATAGGCTGTAGCTCGTCTTTTAAAGCATTTTAAGTCAATTCTTATGTAGTTTTGGTGTTTTGCAACAAACTAGACTTCAAGAACCAAGAACAAGGAAAAGACGACAAGAATCCATAGAAGGGCAGAAATGCAGCAGGTTTGCGACCGCAAAAGTGATGTCGTAAACCAACCGCAGAGTGAAGCAGAAAAATACGATTTTTGGAATCAACTTTGCGGTCGCATAACACTTGTGCGGACAACATAATGACTGCAGAAGTGCAAAGAGAGTTTCTGCGACATCAAACGAGATCACGAAATCAATATGCGGACCGCATAACGGATCTATGATAGAAAATTGGGCAACTGGTGATTTGATTCTGCGATGAAAGTGTAGTTCTGTGGGCGGCAAAAGTGTTTTGTGGCCGTTGTGCGGTCGCAGATGTGATATGCAAGGGTATTTTTGTCATATTTTGACCCCGACTTTTAGCCCATTATAAATAGAATAACTAGGGTTTTGTGGGGCATCTTGTCTGATAAAAAGACATTGAATACACCATTATTTTGGAAGCTTTTGGAGAAGAGAATCTTGTCATCTTTGTAAGCTTTATGACTTTATTTATTGCTTTGTTCTTGGATTCTAGTATGAATAGATAGCTTTTATATATATATATATATATATAATGGTTAGGTGGTATTTATTAATTTCTCATGCTTCATTTAATGTTGATAGTTGCAAACATTGACTAATGCCATTTCACGCTATCTTTACTTGGAAAAGTAGGTTAGGGTTTGGTAGAATTGAAAAACAAAAACTCAAGGCTTTAAACCTTGTTTAATAATCACATAGGAATAAGTGGGTTTTATTTGGCATAAATTGGTTGCCATTAATTGCAACTCTTTTATATTTAGGAAAATTATAAAGAGGAAATATTACCTAACTATTGAGAAATATTGGGTAGTCATTTAGGAATCATTTACATATAAAAGGACCTCCCATTAGAAATATATCATATTAACACCGATAGCATTATATTCCATTAATGGGGACACAACCTTGGTTTTCTTAATCAAATTAATTACACTCTCGTAACAAAATAGTTGTCTTGTTAATTCACAATTACAACATTCTCTTTTTAAGCCGATGGAGTAGAATTACGACTTAAGTCAAGTTTTACACTATTCAAGTAACCTTTTCATACCTATTCCCTGTGGGATTCGACCCCAACCTTGTTGGGTTATTATATTTGACACAGACCGCCTTACACTATTTATTTAAGTGTAATTTGAGCATATCATGCACAAAAATAGTGCATCATCTTCTGGTCTATTCATGTCAGGGCATAACAAGTACACTCCAATAAAGAATACCGAGCTTTATAGGGTGTGAACATTTTTCTCAAATAGTATATGGCTTGCTCTTTCTTCTCGGTCTTGTCCCATGACGCATCTAAATGCCACATCTAATACGGATAGGTATAGTAGTAGAGGTTTCCTAGGATCTTGTGGGACCAGCACATGAGGTTTGCATAGATACTCCTTTATTTTATCGAAAGCCTTTTGACATTCCTTAGTCGAGCTTGTTGCAACATCCTTTCTCGACATCTTGAAGATTGGCTCACATTTTACCGTTGACTGTGCTATGAAACATTTGATGTAATTGAGACGATCTAAAAAGCTCATCGCATCCCTTCTTGTTACTTGGAGGTAGCAGAGCATGGATGGATTTTATCTTTGACAGGTCTAGCGTGATCCCTTAGCGGCTGACAATGATACCTAGTAGCTTTCCGACAGGGACATTGAAGGCACACTTTGTGGGGTTCAGCTTCAAGTTGTATCTTCGCATGTGGTCGAAGAACTTTCTCAGATCTGCTATGTGATATAGGCTCTTCTTGGATTTGATGATGAAGTCATCCACATAAACCTTGATCTCCTTATGTATCGTATCATGATAAAGGGTAGTCATGGCCCTCATGTAAGTAGCTCAGATGTTCTTTAAACCAAACGACATCATTTTATAGCAATAGAAACCCTATGGTGTGATGAAGGTTGTTTTCTCTACGTCTTCTTCATCTATATAGATATGGTGAGATCCCGTGAAGCAATCAACAAAGGATTGGAGCTTAGGCTTGGTGCAATTATTGATCAAGATATGTATGTTTGGCAGCGAGAAATCATCCTTGGGACTTTTCTATTCAGATCTATGTAGTCGATGCATACCTTGACCTTCCCATCTTTGTTTGGTATGGGTATGATATTGGCTAACCAGGTCAGATACTCGACCACTCGAAGAACCTTACAAATAACAGATATCTAATCACATACTCATGGACTGAGAAAAATAGCATGCTTAGGTGTATGTATGTGTAAAGTGTACAACTACAACTCAGATTAGACGGATACGCCATTCAATAGCAAGTATCATGCTCAAACAAGTTATAAAACCTATTCATAGTCTCTAACATGATTCAAGAAGTTCACGTAGTCATATAAATGATCAAAATATGAATCATAGGAAGTAGACAGTCTAAACAAGGCATATTAGAGACCTAAAGTTTTATCTGGTCAAAATCATACATAGCACCTGGATAAATGCTCGTCACCTCGCATATATGTCGCTTTACACACATTCCAATTAGCCTATTAAGGTGACATCCTAAGGGTTATTCCCTCACAACAAGTTTAGGCAAAATAAATACCTTAAACGAGCCAAAATCAATCACTCCAAGAATTCCTTCTCCTTAGACATCACCTCTAATCGGCTTGAATCTTGCAAAAACAACTCAATAACGTCAAGCAAAGCTATAGGAACAATTACCAAAAAAAAATTTCAATCTTTATTCAATTCCCAAAAAGTCCACAAAAGTCAACTCGGGTCCACATGGTCAAAACCCAACTCAGGGGGTAGATCCCCACTACCCATAACCCCACGAGTCCAAATATGTGATTAGATTCCAAAATCGAGTCCAAATCAACCCTGAATCCCCAAAATTCATCCTCTTACGTGGTAGACCAAAACCCCCATCTTTTCTTTAAAAATCCATGAAAAAGTGTACAATCCATGGGGATTCAGGATATATAGCCAAATCTAAGTGAAAAGTACTTACCAATAAAGTAGTTATGAAAATCTCCTCAAAAATCACCGCTCACCAAGCTCCAAAACTTAAAATAACGAAAAAATGAGCTAAAAGTAGACTTAAACCTCCCTGCCAGGCATCTTCGTACCTACACATACTTAGCCGAAAGTGCGACCTCCGCTTCTGCGGAAAACCCTCGCATCTATGAGCTTCCTTAAGGTTGTCGACCCTCACACATGCGGTGCACCTGCCACTTCTACGGTCTCGCAAGTGTGTCCTACCTTCGCTCCTGCGCCAATGCGTCTGCGATGATCATTGTCACAGATGCAACCACTGCCAGTCTTCACCCCTCCACAAAAGCACCAAAAATCCTCATAGGTACGGCACTGCACCTGCACACCAAAGTCTCCTAGGTGCTACACACCAGTACCAGACCGACCAACAACCATCAAAGTTGTCCGAAATCGATCTAAAACATACCTGAGCCTTCTGGAATCCCGTCTAATCATACAAAAAAGTCCTAATACCTTACCTAAACCTATCAAAATCTCAAAACACCACAATTAACATAAAAAATAGGAAGCACCGATCAAGATCAATCTCTTAAGTTCCAAACTTTCTAACTTCACCAAACACGTCTAAATCATGCCTAGCCACTTCGAATTCCAACCAAACTTTGCACAGAAGTTCAATTCGTTAATTGAATCTATCCAAGTTCCTGAAACACCAACCGTAACCCGATAACTCCGAAATTAATTCCCGATCAAACCTATGAAATCCCCAAACCATCAAATCTCCAACTTGGCAGATATAGCCAAAACCTTCCAGGGACCTCCGAATCCACATCTGGGAACTAAGTCCAAAATCACCCTACAAACCCATTGGAACCATCAAATAACCAATCTGAGACCGTCAACTCAAAAGTCAACCTTAGTCAACTCTTAATAACTTAAGCTTCCAAGAATGAGACTAAATATCTCCAGCCACTCTCAAACCTTCCCGCAGCTGAACGAACCAATCCTGTAAGTCACAAAACAACCAACACATATACAGGAAGCATCAAATAGGTGAATGGGGCTCAAATACACAAAACGACTGGCTAGGTCATTACATTCTATCCCTCATAAACAAATGTTTATCCTTGAACGAATTTAGAATCATACCCAAAATTCTAAAAAGAAGAGGATATCTGCTCCGCATATCATGCTCGGTCTCCCAAGTCGCCTCCTAGACCAGTTAACCTCTCCACTGAACCTTAACTAATGCAATATCTTTCAACCTCAGCTTCCAAACCTGCCTATCCAAAATGGCCACCAACTCCGCTTCATAAGCCAGAGTCTCATCCAACTGCACTAAGCTGAAATCCAACACATGTGACTGAACTTTATGGTACTTCCGAGGCATGGAAACTTGAAACACCGGATGAACTCTCGACAAGTTTGGTGGAAAAGAAAGTTTGTAAGACACCTTACCCCTCTCTCCAAAACCTCAAATAAGCCAATAAACTGAGGAATCAACTTTCCCTTCTTTCCAAATACATTTTGTGCTACAGCCCTTCCTATCTGATAGAAAAGGATCCCATGATCCTGAACCGATCTTACCTGGGATCGCAAATCCCAAGTTTGTCTATGAAGAGCGGATCTAATTGTATTAGTGTCTATAATTGATTTCTTCTGTGTAATACTAATCGATAGGACCTCATTGGTAAGTGCTACAAGATCTCGTGCATTGGAACCCATGGTTATGGACCCGAATCCGTTAGTATGGAACATTTTCTTTTCCAAGTGAAATCCCCTAGTATATGAAAGAGTGAAAAAGTGCTTTCGTTGTTGTGGAAGAAGAAGCCTTCGTATCTTAATGCACGTATTTAATTTATTCGGAGCTATTAGAGCGGGATCCACTTTTTGGGGAATATGAGTCGAAGCAATAACAAGAATATTTCTAGTAGAACATCTTTCACAATCCCTGGAGAGATGGTTCACTAATAGACCGAGGGCTAAGTCATTCGACTCATTCACATCCAGATCATGAATGTTTGGAATCCATATTATGCAAGGAGACATTGCTTTTGCTAATTCGAATTGAAGGGTGATATAAAATCGGTCTATTTCCGGCATCATATCCATAGTTAGCCCATTCATCCTAGTTAGCAGTTTCAGCTCCGTATCAAGGTCACGATCGATATCGTCACTAGCATCAAGATTGTCACTATCATCAATATCGTCACTATCATCAATATCGATCTCATCAAGAAGAAAACCTTTAGGCTTGTTATCCAGGAACTTGTTCAGAAATACCGTAATGAAAGGAACATAGGAGTTTGTCGCTAGGTATTTGACCAAATANAGAACTATTTGGATTATATAAATGTTTGTTAGCATTTGAGCCATATATTGTTTATAACAAATTTATAGTAAGAACAGATAATACACAAGTAAAATGGTGGATAACACGGAAAGTACAGGATTCAGTAACTACAAAGGAAATAAGGAGACTTGTATTGAATATACAAAATTTTACATTTACAATTGAAGTAATACGAACTGACAAGAATGTTATTGCAGACTACCTATCAAGACAAACGTACCCAAACAGATGAAAGCCAAGAATCAAAAGACATATTTACAATCCTTACTACTCGAACCTTCCTGTCAACATAACTTTTCTGCCTAGACTACACTATACAAAGTCGGTCCTAAATTAACTTCATATTCTCCAAAGCATCACGAACCAAACCTATGCCCAAAAACCTAGCCTCGCCAGACTCAAACCAACCAACCGATGAACGACATCGCCTCACATACAATGCCTCATATGGAGCCATCTGAATACTAGACAAGCAGTTGTTGTTGTAGGAAAACTCCGCTAATGGTAGAAACTTATACCACTGGCCCCCAAAATCAATGACAAAAGCTCTCAACATATCCTCAAAGATATGAATGGTCCCCTTAGACTAGCCATCCGTTTGGGGTGAAATGGAGTACTCAACTCTACATGCGTGCCTAAATTATGCTAAATAGATCTCCAAAAGTGTGATGTAAACTGAGTGTCGCTATCCAAGATGATAAAAATAGGTATGCCCATGCAAGCAAACAATCTATCTGATGTAGATCTGAGCCAGCTTCTCTGAAGTGTAGGAAGTCATAACCGAAAAAATGGGCCAACTTGGTCAACCGATCAATAATAACCCAAATGGAATCAAACTTCCTCAAAGTCTGTGGAAACCCTAACACAAAATCCTTAGGAATATGCTCCCGCTTCCACTTTGGTATATCAATCCTCTGAAGCAAACTACCTAATTTCTGATGCTTATACTTAAATTGTTGATACTTCAAATATTGTGAAACATGCCCAACAATGTCCTTCTTCATCCTTATCTACCAATAAGGCTACTTTAAATCAAGATACATCTTTGTATCACCTAGATGAATGGAATTCTACAAAATGTGATCCTCCTCAAGAATCAACTTCCTCAAACCATCCACATTAAGAACACAAATCCGACCCTAAAGTCGTAATACACAATCATCACCAATGTTCAGCTTCTTAGAACCACCTCACTGCAGCGTGTTCGTAAGGACAAACAAATGGGGATCATTATACTGATAAGCCTTTATGCGCTCAAACAAAGAAGATTGTGTAACAACATAGGCAAGAACTCTGTTGGGCTCGAAAATATCTAATCTTACAAGCCTATTGGCCAAAGCATGAACATCCATAGCCGAAGGCCTTTCCACAACTCAAATAAATGCCAGACTCCCCATACGCACCTTTCTACTCAAAGCATCTGCTACTACATTAGACTTACCCGAATGATACAAGATAGTGATATCATAATCCTTCAATAACTCCAACCATCTTCGCTCTCAAATTCAGTTCATTTTGCTTAAATAAATGTTGAAGACTCCGATAATCATTGTAAACCTCACAAGACATGCCATATAAATAATGCCTCCAAATCTTGAGTGCGTGCACAATAGCTGCTAACTCCAAATTATGAACCAGATAATGCTTCTCATGGGGCTTTAACAGGCGTAATACATAGGCAATCACTATACCATCCTGCATCAGCACACAAACAAGGCCAATGGCTGAAGCATCACAATAGGCAGTATACCTCCCTGATCCTAAGGCAATACCAAAACTGGAGATGTAGTCAAAGCAGTCTAGAGCTTCTAAAAGCTCTCGTCACACTAGTCAGACCATCTAAATAGGACACCCTTCTAAGTCAACTTGGTCAATAGATCTGCAACAGATGAAACCCCCTCCATGAAGTGACATAGTAACCAACCAAACCTAAGAAACTCCTGATCTTTGTAGTTGTAGAAGGTCTGGACCAACTCTCAACTACCTCAATTTTCTTTAAGTCAACCTTGATCCCATCACTAGGCACCACGTGGCCCAAGAATGCTACTGAATCCAATCAAAACTCACACTTGAAGAACTTATCATACAACTTATGCTCCCTCCTAATTTGAAGCACTATCCTCAAATGTTGCTTGTCCTCCTCTTTGTGACGGGAATATACCAAGATATCACCAATTAAAGAAAAAAAATAATTCAAATAAGGTTGAAACACACTGTAGATCAAATACATGAAGGTTTTGGGGCATTAGTCAAACCAAAAGACATCACCAAAAACTCATAATGCCCATAACAGATCCTACAAGCCGTCTTAGGAATGTCCGAATCCCTAATCTTCAATATACGATACCCCTATCTCAAGTCAATCTTTGAGTACATCCTATCACCCTAAAGCTGATCAAACAAATCATCAATGCAAGGCAATGGATACTTGTTCTTGATGGTCACCTTGTTCAACTGTCGGTAATCAATACACATCCTCATGGAACTAGTGCACCCCAAGGAGAGACACTTTGTCTGATGAATCCCTTATCCAACAATTCCTACAAATGCTTCTTCAACTCCTTCAACTTAGTAGGAGCCATGCGATATGGTAGAATAGATATGGGTTGAGCCCCCGGGACCAAATCAATATCCCTATCGGTGGCATGCTCATTAGGCCTGCAAGAAACACATCAAAGAACTCTCTTACTGGGGACTGAGTCTACCATAAGAGTATCAACACTAACATCTCTCACAAAAGCCAGATACGCCAAATACCCTTTCTCAACCATCCGTTGAGCCTTCATAAAAGAAATCACTTTATTTGAAATGTGACCCAGAGAACCTCCATTCCAACCTTGGCAACCCCGATATAAGCAATGTCACAGTCTTAGCATGACAAACAATAATAGCATGATACTAAGATAACCAATCCATACCCAACATAACCTCAAAATCCACCATATCCAATATCAATATGTCCACCCTTATCTCATAACCATAAATAGCAACCATACAAGATCGATAGACTCGATCCACAATAATAGAATCCTATCCGGTGTGGACACATAAACAGGAAGATCAAGAGAATCGTGTGGCATATCTAGATAAGAATCAAAACATGATGACACATAATAATAAGTGGAACTAGGGTGAAATAATACTAAAGCATCCCTATGCACACTAAAATAATACATGTGATCATAACATCTAAAGCAACTACCTCTAGCTTGCCCAGGAATGCATAACATAGGCATGTCTTACACCTAACTGACCTTTCCCTCTAGGACGGCCTTGAATAGACTGGGCTCCACCCCTAGATGTCTGTGAGGGTGGTGTAGCTACTAGGGCTGGAATCATGGACTGGGTGCCCTAACGTGGTACACTTCTCAGAAGCCTGGGGCAATCCTTCTTGAGATGACTCAAGTCTCCACATTCAAAGAAATCCCTCCTCTGGCGAGGCTGGTAGCTCTATTACTGCCCTTGAGAACCTGAATACCCGCTCGAAAAACCCTGATCAGACAGAGCATAGTATGAATTCTATGCTAGCATTGTGATGAAAGACGACTGGCTTGGGCGAGCACTGTATGAGACACGACTGACTGAAGAACCATGAGGAACCTGATGAGCTGAATGAATATGACTTAAAGAGCAACAAAAGAGCAACCTCTACTGTGATGTCCTTGGCCTCCAGATGAGGCATTACAAAAATCACTTGAACCACGGTGCCTCTTGGCATCTTGCTCCTCTCTCTCCTGCATGTGCATACACTCTAAGTGCCTAGAAATCTCCACATCCTGATGAATAATAATAATAATCTTGAAGTCTCGGGCCATACCATACCGAATACCAAAGTTGAGGCCCTCAACGAACCTCCTAACCCTCTCCTCTCAGTAGGGACCAAGAATATATCATATCGTGCCAGCTTCATGAAACTTATCTCATACTGAGTCACAATCATGCCCTGTTGGCATAGATGCTTAAACTCACTATGCAGCTCATCCCTGCGAGTATGTGGAATAAACTTCTCCAAGAAGATATCTGAGAACTCAGACCATGTGAGTTGAACTGCGCCATCTGGTCTAGTCAACTCATAAGTATGACACCATCTATATGATGGCCTGGACAACTGGAAGGTAGTAAAGACAACCCCATTCGAGTCTATCATACCTAAATTGCGCAAAATTCGATGACACTAATAAAGTAAACCTTATGCATCTTTAACAGGCTCTCCACCAAACTAGGGAGGATGAAGTCTCTGAAATCTCTCGATCCTTTTCTGCTCCTCATCAGTTGTAACAATCCAATCGGTTGTTTTGTATATTTGAGCCCCATTCCCCTATTTTGTGCTTTGCGTATGTTTCTTTGTTGTTTTGTGAGTTACAGAAAAGTTTTGGAGTGAATTGGAACACTTAGTCCCAAGGTTTGAAGCTTATGCTCCCATTTGGCTATAAAATTTGGAATATATTTTCGAATTTTATTTTCAAATATCTGTTTATTTATAGATTTTAATCATTATTGGTATATTTTAAAATAATAATCTTCAAATCCCAAAAATAGCTCTAAAGTAGTTTTTGAAATTTTTGAAGTTTCCTACTCACAAAACTTCAAATTCTTTTCAAATAAAATACATTTCCAAAAATAAATTTCAAATTTCAAAAACCATTTTTCATCTCATCTTCAAAAACACATTTTCAAGTTTTAACCAAATTTATGTCCAAACGCTAGCTAAGTCATAAGAGTTTACTAAGATTTGGCTTTTATGTAAATAATTCTAGAATGGTGTTTTGATGGTTTCAATAGGTTCGTATGGTAATATTGGGCTTAGGCGTATGTCCAGATTTTGATTTTGAGGTTTCTAAGTTGATTTGGCTCTATTTGGTGAAAGTTGAAAAGTTGAAGATGTGGAAGGTTCAAAGGTTTGACGTGAGTTGATTTTGATGTTATCAGATTCAGATTATAGTTCTGGGAGTTGGCATAGGTTCGTTATGTCTTTTGGAACTTGTGTGCAAAATTTAGGGCTAGTCTGAGTTGGTTACACGTG